AGGGAGGGAGGAAGCGAGGGAGGGAGGAAGGGAGGAAGAGGGAGGGAGGGAGGGAGGGAGGGAGGGAGGAAGGGCAGGCAGACAGCAGGCTCACCTATAGGGTTGACATTTAAGTTTCAAACAGGAACTTAAAAGGATGATAGCAGTCAGGGATGTTCACTTTAGAACTACTGGAACCTTCAAGCATTGAGTAAGTTCTTTTAGGGACTGGAGACCTGGCTCCGCAGTTAAGAACATTCCTGTTGCAGAGACCAGACCAGTTCCTAGCACCCAACTTGGGTAAACAACTGCCTATAACTCCAGCTCCAGGGGCTCTAACTCCCTGGTCTCCCTGGGTACACACACACACACACACATACACACACACACACACACACATACACACACTCAACATTGACTATGACTCACATAGACACCCGTACACATAAAAATAATAATTAAACAAATTTAAAGAAAGTTCTTTCAACTCACAAGACTGCAAAACTAATGGTTTTTTCTCGAGTATGTTTGCATCAAGCACTTCTAGAAGCATCTAGCTATAGAAAGATACCCTCGCCCCCAGAGGCACTTGATTCAATTCTTGCTGTAGCAGTCACACATACTTCCTCCAGATCCCTGGGGCTTCTAGTCACAAAGGACCGCACTTTATGAGACAACTGAAACAAAGAAAGGAAGTGCTGGGCTGGGCAAATACATCAGTTGTATCTTCACAAGCATCAGAACCTGACTCCCATACTCGGAACCCAGGGAAAAACTTATGGACATGGGGGCACTTCTCTGTAATCTCAGCAGACGGGGGAGGCCTGAGGCTCACTGGCCGGCCAGCTCAGCCTATTGGAGAGTTGCAGACCAGTGAAAGACCCTATCTCAAAAAGAGGAGGTGGATGGACAAGACCGGAGGTTGTCCTCTGTTCTACACACATTTGTGACACCCCAACCTCCCAAAAGGAAAGTCAGGAGACTAGCCAGCACTACAGAAAGAAGGGGAAGGGAAATGGTGGCAGACAGACAGGAAAAGCAGGAGAGGCGAGGGGAAGAGAAAAAGTGTCACTTGCCTTCTCTTCTGAGGAAATGGTAAGCTTGTCACTTGAGATTAAGCTGCACACCTGCTCGATGCCGAGGTTGAGAAACTCTTCACTGAGTACGACATCCGCAAAATGCCGCTCTGTTGGAAAGCCAGAAAGAGACCATCAGCATCACACGAGAGTGAAGAGGCCACATCTCTTAACCAGCCAGAGACGAGGAAATGCCACCGCATCTCTTCTGGGCGAGAAGAGGTGGCAAGGCGGCCTTAGCGGACACTCACTGGTCAGAACTGTGTTAGGGCTTAACATGGTGCATGCTAAACAGCTACTGCTCACGTAGCTTGGCACTTCCAATGTTTAAGTCTGTAAGTTTGTCGTCACACAAAGCACACGGTAGTATAAGGCCACATCCTTGAATGCAGTCCGTAAAACATTAGAGAGCTCGAGACCACTACAGGGAGAAAACTGCTTGCTTGAGAACTAACAAAAAGCCTTCAACACTGCGCAATATGAACATATGGATAGCATTAAAAAACTAGTGTATTAAAATAAAACAAAAATAAGTCTCAATTCTATATAAGTAATTTATTTGGGAAGAAAATGATTAATTTTATTTCTCAAGTCCTTCCCGGGAATGTGGTAAAATTGGTAATTCTTAAAATACTCAGACCTTTTCCTTGGTTTTCTAAATATGCCTATTTGTGATGGGGGACCAACACAATGACATAACTCTATTAACATAATCAATGATTCAAAAGCTTATTAAGAATGTATCCTATACAAACAGCTTTTTCTACAAGTTCACCTTTCTCTCACACAAAAGATGAGCTGGAACTTCAAGACTACGGCCTGCTCTTTGCACTCAAGCACACCGGGTTCAAATCTCAGCTCCACCATGTGCCGGCTGGTAAAATAAGGGGTGATTGCATAACCCCCTACACCATGGCTTCCACACATGTAGAGGCTGAGAAAAACACCTCACATACCACACGAGTGCTGTGTATGAGCAGACACTTGGCTTGTCAAGCATGAGGAACTACGTGTGCGGGAGGGCTGAGAACTCTAACAGTGCCTGTTAGCCTGCGGCCTCCAAGTCCAGACATCCGCTAGAAAGTCTGCATTATTTCCTTATCTGTTTGTCTGTCTGCACAATTATCCATATGCCAACAGTACTTTTAAAGACGTTTTCACAGTAGAACAAATGGTTCCTTTCAATACATATTTGTTGAAACCCCAAAGATTATTGCCTTCCTCTTTAGAATATTTAAAAACTACAATGTGCATTTCAACAGACCTCTGAATACCTACTCACTTCATAAAAGGTTCCTCACAAGACGGCTTGGAACACAATGCGCAACTCTTGGGGTAATTATAACATGATCGGATTTATAAAAATGCAACAGACACATTGCTTCGCAAATTCAGTGTCTGGGTTAGGCAAGAAAAAAAACCACACTGAAATAAACATGAAAATGGAAGATTGAATTGCTTTTGTAAATGAAAAAACAAAACAAAACAAATAACAAATGGGCCCAGAAATTGCCCCACACAAAGGGATTTTTGCAACGACAGTGACACGGGGGGGGGGGGGGGGGGCAGTGGTGATCTTTGCAGAGGAAGCCAGAACAAGCAGCCATCTGTACACTAAGAAAACCTAGATAAAGACCTTGTGTGTTTCACAAAAATTAACCCAAGGCAGGAGAAACACCTAACGGATCCCAACATTGATGAGTTACTTACAGCACAGGAAGAAGATGATGAAAGAAACAATTAGCAAGTTGGACTTCATTAAAACTAAATCTCTGGCCCCAAACAACCATGTTACAAAATAAAAAAGATAATTCATAACCCTCAAGAAAAATTTCTTATAAAAAATTTATCTTACAAAAGACCATTATGTAAAACGTAGAAATCTCAAAATTCAACAAGAAAACACTCCTATTTTCCAAGTGGGAAACAGATCTAAACAGATATATCAAAGATTATGTAAAGGTGAAAAATAGGCACATCAAAAGATGCCATCACCATATACAGCAGCCTCCGGCCACCGAGGAGCTACACAGTGAGACCCTGTCTCCAAACAAACAAATAAAACACTCTAAACACTGACAATATCAAATACTGGCAAAGATACATGGTAACAGAAACTCTCACTGCCTTGAGAAAGGGAAAAGAAAAACAAAAGCAAAAACTAACTTGGGAACAGCAAGTAACCTTGGCCACAGAAGTCTCTCCTTGAGCTCCAGAAACCACCAAGTCAAGATGGGACATGGAGGCGGGAGAACCACCCAAAAGCTCGTGGGCCAGCCAGCCTGGATTAAGCATCAAGCAGAAAAAAGATGCCTTGCCTCAAAAACAAGGTGGAAGGAGAAAACTGACTCCCCAAATTGACTGACCTCTGACCTCCACATGTGCCATGGCATGTGCCCCGGCACTGTAATACAATAACGTTACAAACTTTAAAAAGCCCCCACACAATGATTTACAGCAGCTGAATAAACTTCCACTGCATCTATGAGGCACATTTTCACGACCTAGCACTCATCTGCGGATGGGCTCATCCGCCTCCTGGCTGCTCTGAACAGAGCAGCAATGAACACACAAGCAGTCTCTGTAAGATGCGGAGTCCTCTAAGACTACGCCCAGGGTTGGTACAGCTGGGCCATGTGGGAGATCTATTTCTAGCTTCTTGAGAAACCCCTATATTGATCTGCTTAGGGGCTGCACCAGTACACACTCCTACCAACAGTGAGTAAGGGTTCCTTTGCCCTACATCTTTATATTTAGTCATTAAAATGAAATTATGAAAGTTGAAGGAAAAAACTCTATTAAAAACAACTACCCAGAATTGAAAGACAAATACCGTGTGTTCTCTCTCATATGCAGATCCTTGCTTCAATGTTTACATATGTATATCTACACAGGAATAAGGACCAAGGCATTAGGAAAGGACCCAGGAGATGGGGGGAGGGCAGAAAGGGAGAGGAATTAAACACATGAGATATGAAAGTGGAAGGGATGGGTACACTGGAGGGAGAAAGAAACAAGTATGGAGGGGGAAGAGAAATAGTATCCAGTATTGGAGGGAATCAAGCAAAATAAGATGTATGAAAATGACACAAGAAAATGGGCCACTTTGTACAGTAATTAAAAATTTTAAACTTAAAAACAGATTTGCCGCAGTTATAAATGTCTATCAGACAACATGGAGTCATTTATATCATATTTAACCAAAACAAAGTCAAAGTTGCCCAGAGAGAAACCACTCAAGCTCTTTATGTCTTCCCCAGATTCAAGCCCAGTTCAAAACTACAAGACCAGGGCTGAACTCCAAAGTCCTCTTACCTAGAAACCTTGGCAGCCTGCCAATCAGAACAGGGCAGATCTTGCAAAATGCTGGCCTCATGCCAAACCACTTATATAACATCTTTCTTTCCTAATAAAACCCCGATATGGGAGATGGAGACAGAGCTGTCAGTAAAGTGCTTGGACCTGAGTTCAAGCCCCAGAAGCCAGGTATGGGGGGGAAAGGAAGTCAGGTATGATGGTGTGCGGCGGGATTCAGGAGGTAGCGAAATGGAGGAAAGAGGATCTCTAGGGCTCCTGAAGAATGACAGCTGAGGCTCCACATGCATGGTATAGATGCGCGTGCACACGAGTGTACACACACACACACACACACACACACACACACACGTGATGTGGGAGTGTCATATATCAATCTGTTGATTTCATTGGTTAAGTAATAAAGAAACTGCTTGGCCCTGATAGGTTAAAACATAGGTGGGTGGAGTAAACAGAACAGAATGCTGGGAGGAAGAGGAAGTGAGCTCAGAGGCCATGCTCCCCTCTCCCAGGCAGACACGATCGATGAAGCTCCGACCCAGGATGGATGTGGGCTAAACTCTTCCCGACGAGCAAAAATCAAATTAAAGTAGATCTTGTAGATGAGAATTTTACAGAATTAAGAAATAGCAGGACCTCCAGACACACCATATGAAGGTGGATGATATCAGCTAGAGATAAAAATACCAGAAACATATCCATTTAATCCTCCTAAGGTCCGGTTTATCACTAAAATATGGCATCCTAATATTAGTTCCGTCACAGGGGCTATTTGTTTGGATATCCTGAAAGATCAATGTTCTAGGGGATCCAGAGCCCTCTTCTGACCTTGATGAACACCACACGTTTAGGTGCATATGCATACATGAAGAAAAAATGCTCATACATATAAAATCTAAAATATTTGTTTAAGAAGAAAACAAATCGAGGTCAGCCTGGTCTCGAAGAGCTAGTTCCAGGACAGGAACCAAAAAGCTATGGAGAAACCCTGTCTCGAAAATCAAAAAAAAAAAAAAAAAAAGAAGAAGAAGAAGAAGAAGAAGAACAACAACAACAACAACAAGAACAACAAGAACAAGAAGAACACGAATTAACAATGCAGCAAGTAGATAAAGCTTACAGAATAGGGCGGCAGCAATGACTCTCCGCACGGTATTATTGTCATTGCAAGCACTGTTGGCAGCTGCAGGACCAGATGACCTCCAGGATGCAGTAGTAGCAAATCAGTACAAACAAAATCCTGAAATGTTTAAGCAGACAGCTCGACTTTGGGCACATGTGTATGCTGGAGCACCAGTTTCTAGTCCAGAATACACCAAAAAAAAAAAAAAAATAGAAAATCTGTGTGCTATGGGCTTTGATAGGAATGTAGTAATAGTGGCCTTGTCTTCAAAATCATGGGATGTAGAGACTGCAACAGAACTGCTTCTGAGTAACTGAGGCATGGGAGCTGCTGCCAGCCAAGCTCACCTCTTCTTGAGGAGCACCAACATCTGTTATTTTTAGGATTCTGCATAAATTTCTTTTAAACTGGCATTCTTGCCTGATGATGTTATCTAGGCACCATTGGAGACTGCAAGAAAAAAAAAATTCCCTGCTCTGTAAATTTAATCAAAAAAAAAAAAAAGGAAGAGAGTTGTTGGGTGTGGTAGTACACACCTTTAATCCCAACACTTGGGAGGCAGAGGGAGATTGACCTCTGTGACTTCTAGGTGTGGTAGCACACGCCTTTAATCCCAATGCCTGGGAGGCAGAGACAGGCGGATCTCTGAGAGTTCAAGGACAGCCTGGTCTACAGAGTTATTCCAGGTCAAAGATACAGAGAACCTGTCTCACAAAGAAAAAAATAAAAGTAAAAATAAACAAAATAGAGGTTAAAATAAAGCACACAAAGATGGAAAATACACAGAGAATTTTGATACTGTATGCTATTATGCTCTCTTTGAATTGTTTGAATGCTGAGGAAGGAGCAACAGATGCTAAAAGATATTTGTTTATAAATGCTGCTGAACTAATCCAACATAGATATTTTGAAAATGCCTTGACTTCAGAATTTGGATCTAAGGATATGATAATTTGGAAAAGAGATTCTTCTTTTGTTTTCACAGAGGATGAAACCCTGTGAATTGCTTCTATCCCAGTATGGTATGATAGACCACGCCCTCCTGAAAGGTTGCTGTGAACATCTTCAGAAAATTACTTCACTCAACTGCCGACTGAGATGAACCTAGCACACAAGGTTATACCATAAAAGACCTAAATAACAGCGCCCCCATTCAGCAGGAAGCAGTTTGAAGAGAAATAACTGTGCCATGTTCCCAAATATTGTTTATAAATGTTCTTTTACATTTAAAGGGGGATATGATATAGGTATGAATAATTTGCATTAGTATAGATTTTGCTTTATTGATAGATATTTAATGTCAATTTTGTTATATGTGTATGTATTTCTGATCTTGATTAAGGTATTGTGATTGTGTAGTTCATTTAAAAATGTAATGTATATAGGTTGTTAATGGATAATCATTAATAATAATCAAGCTTGTAGTCATGTTAGTTAGATTTTTTAGATGTGCATATATATTTTAGATAGGCATTCTTCATATCTTTCAAAGATTATAGAATATGGCATTTTAAATGTTTTAATAACTTAGGGCTTTTCATGACAATGAGACACTCTGCTCCTGGCAGCACCAATCTACTTCAAAAGGAAGATGGGCATCGAAGAGGCTCCTTATGGAGTTTGATAGCCATCTGGGCAAGAAACTGCTCTTGCCTGGACTATTGCATAAACTGGACACAGAGAACCCACAGAGAGAGGACTACTGAACTTGCCTAAAGATGAGATGATCTTTCAGGGTTCCTGATTCATGAAAGAGTCTGCAAGACATTCTTCAGGACAAGCAGATAGTGACTGCCTTTGAAATTTCCTGCTTCATGGAAATTTCTGCTGGAAACTATGGGTCTGTAGGCCGAAGATGGATGCCCCAACACTACAGAGGAACTTTGGGTGTCTGTCCAGGTAGCAAAATGTCTCTGTCATTTCTACAGTTTTGAAAGTTGCTTATTTCTTGTTTACTTAGGTAATATTATATCCTTCTGGAATCTTTGATGCAGTTAAAAAATAGATAGTTATAGTTGTTTTCCTTTGTTATGATAAAAGATAAAATAGATATAAATATTGTAACTGTAATTTTTGCTTGATAACTGTTTTGTTATATGTAATTTTGCTATGTTAAAGCCATCATTTTTGTTTAAACAGAAAAAGGAGAAATTATGTGGGAGTGTCATATATCAATGTGTTGATTTCATTGGTTAAGTCATAAAAAAAACTGCTTGGCCCTGATAGGTTAAAACTTAGGTGGGTGGAATAAACAGAACAGAATGCTGGGAGGAAGAGGAAATGAGCTCAGAGGCCATGCTCCCTTCTCCCGGGCAGACACGATCGATGAAGCTCTGACCCAGGATGAATGTAGGCTAGAATCTTCCCAGTAAGTGCACCTAGGGGTGCTACACACATTATTAGAAATGGGATAGTCCAGGTGCGAGAGTTAGCCGAGAAGAGGTTAGATATAATGGGCCAAGCAGTGTTTAAAAGAATACAGTTTCCGTGTAATTATTTCAGGGCATAAGCTAGCAGGCGGCCGGGGTGCTGGGGACGCAGCCCCCCTCCCCGACCCCTCTCCTTCAAATTCATGGCCTGTGCATTCGTTAATTGTTATTGCATGCATATGTATTTGTACACACACACATATTCCTAAATATAACCTGTTCAGTCCATATAATGCTATATGAATGTTCTCAGAATTCACTGGCACTGTACTAATTATTGCTGTGGTCGGGCGGTGGTGGTGCACACCTTTAATCCCAGCACGTGGGAGGCAGAGGCAGGTGGATCTCTGTGAGTTTGAGGCCAGCCTGGCCTATAGAGGGAGTTCCAGGACAGCTATGGGTGTTGCACAGAGAAACCCTGTTTCAAAAAACAAACAAACAAAACAATTTCTGTGTTTGGGGACGGCCACCTCTTGTGTTCCCAGTTTTCCTTAGCTGCCTAAAGTTCTTTGTGTAAGGTTGAGGTTTTTCTTTGTCCAGTTTAGCATGCCAAATTACAGACTTTTACCAATAATGTCCATACTGGCCTAATAGCTATAAGAAATATCCCACAGTGTTTATAACAGGAAGCTACCAGGAATAGAGGAACTTAAGAAGCATATAGTATATGTACTTTGTTCTAGTATTTTCTGTAAACCTAAAATTGTTCTAAAAATAAAATCACTTTAAAAAGAATAATGTAATAAAACAATATGAATGATAAACGTGTGGTTAAATTTGCACAAGTTAATTGCAAAAAAAGGTCAAGTTGGTATTGGAAAAATCCAAGATAAGAATTAAGAGATATCTAGTATTTAAGGAACAGTAGTATAAAAAAGTCATTTAGTGGGGTTTTGGGTTTGAAGAATGGACCACAATCCCTTCTACATCAGATAACACCCTTCTACATTTCCATGACCTCACCAGACATTTATGCAAAAAAAAAAAGTCACACTGAAGGTTTTGCTTTCACAAAATTATTCACTTATTTGAGTGTGTGCATGAATGCATGCAAGCGGGGGGGGGGGGGGCTACTTGAATTTACATGACTTGGCTCTTTCCTTTCACCATGTAGGTGCAAGGGATGGGACTCAGGATACTAAGACTCTTGCCTGTTAAGTCATCTCACCAGCCACCAGCCTTTCCTTAGAGTGGCTAGTGCCTGTAATCCCAGCACTTGAAAGACTGAGGCAGCGGGTTATCTGTGAGTTCCAGGTTCGCATGAGGTACAGAGACTCTTGTTTGAAGGAATGGAGAAAATAAAACAATAATCACACAGCAGCAGCAACGTAGCGCAGTGAGGAAAGGCATTTACCATCCACGCCATCAGCATGGGGAACTGAGTTTCATCCCTAGGAGAATGACTGACCACACACTCTGGCTGGGGCAAGTCTCCACCCCATGCAAAACACGTCAGTATGGGAAAGGGAAAGAATACATATGAGAAAAGCATAGCAAGATGGCATGGTGGGACACACTTGAGGGGCTGAGGCAGACGGATGAAGAACTCATGGACACAGTGAGAGCTACAGAAGCCTAGGCAACATAGCAACATCCTGTGTCAGCCAGCATTAAAGGGGGCTGGAGCCAGGACTTGGTGGTTCAGATCACCAGTCGCTCTGGCAGAGGTTTGGTTCCCACCACCCCATGGTGGCTTGTTACTGTTTCTAACTCCAGTTCAAAGGAATAACATCCCTGCTTCTGGCCTCCAGAGTTGCTGCGTGGATATGGTAGAAATATATGTACATAGATAAAGCACTCATACACATAAAGTAACTTTTTAGAAAGCCTAATGACATTTTCCTTTTTTTAATTTTAAATTTGAAACAGGGTCTCATGCATCCTAGGCTGGCCTAGAACTTGGTACGTAGTCAAAAGATGACCTTCAACTTTTGAACCACTCAGCTCTACCCCTCCTACCTCAGACTACAGGCAGGCAGCACCACACCCAGCTCTCCTAGTGGTGGAGGTGCAGGGCTTCATGCATGCTCGGCAAACACCTCTCAGCTGAACACATCCCCAGGCCTCATAACGAGAGTCTTTATACCAAAAGCTCTGAACACCGAGGAACAAATTCACTTTGTGGAAAATATGGCAAACTGGCACATAACTCTAAAAATATTTATGTGCAGCAATTTGGAAATTCAAATAGAAAAACAAACAGCAGATACTAGACCTACGGCAAACTAACATAAAATCCGGCCCCTCGGTCCTAGCAGTATTTCACCTCCACGAGTAGGTCTATAACGATTTTTGCCAAGTTTCTTCTGCAAACTTAAACTCTGAATCAAAGCAAGAGACTGCGAGGCTCCTGCACCTCTCACACGTACTCCAGCAGATGAGGCTAATGGAGGGAACACCATCTTCCTGCGCCACCACTATATAGTTCATCTCAGTCTCTGCTTCATGATTAAAAAAAAAAAGTACTCACTCAAAACAAAACTCGGTGAATTAAAACACACACACACACACACACACACACACACTTTGGCAATTACATAAATTAGAGCTCAGAGCAGTCGTAAACTCCACCCCAAGCGGTGGGGTCTCCATCCATGGTGCACTATGTACTAGCATATCAGGAGGTCAGAGGGGCACAGAAAACAGTCAGTTACTACAAAACATCACATCACTGCAGAAACATCACAGCCGCCCTGACACAGAAGACCACTCCGTAGAGAGAATTAACAAAGCTACAGCTGGGTGTGGCCGTGCCTCAGAGCACACTCGCACCCCAGCAGCTGGGAAACGGCCAGGAGGACTGTGAGTTCAAAGTCATCCTTGGCTACCACAGCAAGTTTGAGGCCAGCCTGGGCTGCTTAAGACCCTGTCTCAAAAACAACTTAGTGTAAAGGAAAACCAAAAAAAAAAAACCAAAACAACATTCAAGTTTAACTTATCCAATTGCAGACATACAGATGCTTTAAAAATTCTCTTATTCTTTTTTTGTCTGTTTTTCGAGCGACAGCCCTTCTAATTCCCACCGCT